AAGTTGGTTCACTGTGTCACTCTACACAATTTTTCTCCTGAGAATCTTACACATTTGTAACTCAACCATTTGATTAAATCTAAACAATCAGCAATATTATTGGTACTGATCTGGTGTCTCGGCTTCAGTCACTTCCACCACCATAAAATTGCCTCCCTGTCTGAGCCTTTTCTATAAATACTCTCATGGCAACTGTTCGGATGAGAACTTCACTGTGGTAAATAGATTTTGATTTAAGCAACAAGGTCTTACCAGTTGAGTTGGATAGATGTAACCATAAGTTCTATGCTAACAGATTTTTTTTCCTTGCACTTGTAGAACTATTTTGGCTCCACACTTTCCAGTCAACTCTAATCTTCAAAAATTCCTATTGCTGATTACTCTTCTGTTCTTGTTCTTTAATAATGTTCCTGTTTTCTAATTCTTCCACATCCAGTAACCCCTTGAGTCTTAGTGGCTTTATTGCCTTGCTTGGTATGAACATGATTTTAACCAAAAAAAAAAATGTTCATGCATTGAATATTAAGTTGCATCAGGTCTGGTGCTTCTAGATATTTAGAGATTCTTGATAAAATCCAAAGAATTTGCAGTGTTATCAGTTCTGACTTGATAATTTGTCATTGATCACTTTCTCACTGCTGCAATGTAGCTTCCCTGTGCCATTTCTATAAATATTTTCATGGTAATTGTTCTGATAAGCTTTCCTCTGGTACCTAGATTTTACAAATTTAAGTGTAGTACTAGATTGGCAACTAGGTCTCATTTTACAATTAAAATGGCTAGATGTTAACAATTTCTTCTCTTCTGACATAGTATTTTCCTCACACTCAGTAACTGTTTGCTTCTTAGTGGCTTTACTACCTTGCTTTTGGGAAAATCATTAAAAAAAAAATGAAAGAAGATATTTGTCTTCATATTTGGTAAGCTTGGAATTTTGAACTGAACCCTTTATTCAATCTGTACAGGTGGATTGTTCTCATTCAGTTTTTTTTTTAAATAGGGGATATTTTGTATCGGTATCTGTCAATCTTAGTGTCACTTGTTTGTTTCATTAATATGTCCTAGTCAATTAAAGTATTGGTTAAAACATATCTAATTCCTGGCAGTTGTGAGTTTAATCCCTGGTTCTTTTTAGTACTGAAAAGTCTTAAACTCTGTTTTGATGGGATAATCAGACAGCATAAAGTTGAATAAAACTCGTAATACCAATACGAAATATCCCTTAAGCAGAGAAAGTTGAATGAGAAGTCTATTCCCATGGGTTGCAAACATAAATTTGAACATTTGAAAAATGCAGAACAAGGTTTTTTGATAATTCACAAGTCCAATGTGCCATTTTTTACCTCACAGGTAAGCTAGTTATATATAATATAGATATGTGTAACATGTTGTTGCTGTTTTTTTGTGGGGGGGTTTATTCTATAACGTGTAGGGACACCATATGTACTGATGACACAGTAGAAATGGTGTTTCTTGGGCAAAGTAGCCTGACAGAGACCAACCCTCTCCAGGCCAGTTTTGAATTCAGTTTTTCCTTCCCCTAGACTGGTTGCTACCCAAGGTTATAGAACCCAGTCTGTCCTGCTATTTACCCATAGCTAGGGGAGAAGAGGATTCTTATCTTTCCCAAGAGTATTAGCACGTAAGTGAATGTAATGGATCTAACTGGAATTTGAACTCGTCTTTCCAATTCCTCAATCCGAGCTACTATCCATTACCCCACCCTGCCTCTAATTATTGCATCAAGTAAATATTGATAATTTTAAAATTTCCATATTTCTATATGATTGTAGGTTAGTTAATAGTAACTGGATTTAACTAGTTCTTGAAATTTCACTTAGGTCATATATCTTATGGTATTAGTTTCCTCTAGTGACTCTAAATAAATTATGTAAACATGCTCCTTGCTTTTTTTTTCTCTTTTGCTTTTAACTATGTAAGGAGATGATGAAAATTATCTATCTGACCTACTTTCCTCAAATCTGACCAAATGAACAAGCATTTTTTTTTCCTTCATGATTAGGATTTATCAGCACCTAGTGATTATAAAACATTATTTGCATAGCATTTTACTATTCAAGATTAAACTGTTTTTATAATAATAATAATAATCTATTTTCTCTTTTAATATTCCATCTTTTTAAATTTGTTACAAATTCACAGAAACACTTGAATTTTTCCTATTCTTGTGCCACACTTTTTCTGTTTGTTGTGATTCTGTCTGTAAATTCATCTTCCAACTTCTCTTATTTTCTGTTCTACAAGATATCAATCCAATGTTATTCCTTTACTTATCTTTTTCCCTATTTGTATTACTATAAGAAATTGTAATATCTCTGTCACTATCTGATATTTTGAAATAGAAGGAAATCATTTTACTATCTACAGATTGTGAAATTCATCTATATAACTTGCAATACACAGCAACTTTTAAATTTTTTTTATATTTCTTAATTCATCTTTTGGAACAGTGACACCTAACTTCAAGATAAAAACAAAATACCTTGAGATATTTTAAAACCTTTGTAAAAAAAAAATCAGATTTCATAATTCTCTTAATTTTCCATCCTTAACAATTTCAGACTTTTTTTTTTTTTTTTTTAATTGGTAGGTGCTCATAAGCAATCATTTGTCAATTATTTTGTTCTGAATTCCTGGACATTTAGGTTAAAATGTACCTTTTTGGCAAAAGGTATTCTTAAGGCCATGAGTTTCTCAGAGGAAAATGGATAGGAGCTAGATAATCAATCTTGTGTTAGCCAAACTCTTAGGTTTTATCAAAGCAATGCATGTTTCAATTTCAAGTTTTTTTTTTTTTTTTTTTTTTTTTTAAATGAGGCTTCTCCTAATTGTTCCAACTTTAGCTCTAAATAAAAAGAATTTATTTTGTAATGAAGATATCTAATTTAAATCCAATTTTCCTTCTTGGCTTTTTGCATTAAATTTATTAACTTAAACCTGTTGTGACTAACCATTAATTGTAGATTTTATGTTGATTTTGGTTAACAGCATATCAACTTCTATGGGTTATTTAATGCCAAAATCTAAATAATTTCAACACAATTTTATGGTTTCAAGTAAATATATTTTGAACACAATTGTATGCCTTCATCTACAGATAAGATGTTGTTGGGTCATTTTGCTTAAAAGATGTGTTGGGTCATTTTTACTTACAGGTGCTACCATCCTGGGTGAGTATGTACCTGGGAACAACAATTAAGAGTTGGTTCCATGCTCCTCAAAGCCTCCAATTTCCCGATCTCACCTTGTTGTCGGATATAGTTTATCATCACACCCAGGACTGATTTTACTTGTAATGTCCACACTAGGCGTAGGCATGTAATAATACAGTTGGGGCTTTTTTGTATATCAGATCTAAAGAATTAGTGCTTATTTAAGGCCTCATGAACTTATTAATATAAAAAATATACAAAATGTTTGTGCAGAAGAGTTAATATAGGGAAACATTAGACCCTTTAACTTTACCTTAATAAAGGACATTTTTCCTCATGTTTGTTTTAAATTTATTTATTATTAAATTTAAAATGTATTATTGTGATATAATTTTTTTATATAAAAATTCCAATTGCCAAAAAACTAAACAAAGCTAGTTGATTTTATTCTTGTATTCTCTAATAATCAGCATTGGTTGGGTCAAAGAAGTTTGTCTCCTTAACATCAGCAACTGGTTGAGAATTTGAGAAGGAAAATATAGATAAATTGAATATTAATAGACTTTAAAGTTTTATTCATATATTGTTTATTTTTCTATCATATTTTGAACTTTTACTTCTCCTGTTTATATTATGTACATGAAAATGAGTAATTATTTAAAATTAAACCATTGATCATAACCTGGTAGTTTTATTAAGTGAAATGATTAGAAAATGATTCATGGATAAATATTTTACAAGACCTCAAATTATATTTGTCTCAATCACACTTGGGTTGGAACAGTAGAGTAGCTGCCATACATAGACCAGCTTCCCAAAGTAAAAGGTTTGAGTCTCACTTGAAATTTTGTTTACTTCCAATCTGTGCTTTTTACTGATAGCTGTAGCCTGATGGTTTGAATGGTAATATTAGCTGTTTCCCTATAAGGCATTCATTGTCTGTTGAAATTTATAAAATCTTTTTAAAACAATTTTTCAGAAAAATAGATTTCTCAAGTTCAAAAGCTGTTATTGCTCTTTTTTGTACTAATGGTGGTTTCCTTCTTAAACTTTTCTTTGAAGTAGTGTGGAATGTTAACATCTTGATTGTCATTATTTTCTCTTTGAGTTAGATGTGCTATCCATGTTAGTTGTTGCCGCTGTCCTCCAGTGACATAGTTATTGTTATTTGGTACAGTTTGCTGATTCTGTAGTGCCAGTTCAAAGAAGGATAATTCCAATTAAAGATTGCTCAGAAATTAAGAGTTAATACCTTAACTAACAAAAAGAAAATCCAAGAGAATATTTCTTATTTTATACTATTTAGTGTCAACTTTTTGCTGTGATTTAAAAATTATAGTCTTAATTTTAGAAGAATACTAACAATCTGACAAATGTAGGATTAAAAACATTAAGGTTTTCAGTTTTACAAATAGATTAAATTTACAGGAGTGTCTCTCCCAAATATATTTTCTTTCCAGATTTCTCTCTCTTGGATATAAGCTTACATTGTTTTCTACAAGAATTTTTTTTTAAGAGATTATAAAGGCTGAATTCATTGATTCAGTATTTCGTGTTAAGTATCACATTTGCCATTAACTTTCACTGAAAGTGATAATGAATTTAAATAATCAATCATCCAGGAAATTTTATATTTATGGCACTGGCAGTAATTGTCATAGTTATTTCTTTAAATCAAAACAATGTTATGTACTGTATGACTTGTCTATTCCAGTATTCTATAAAACATTAACAGCTTTGTTTTCTTTACTCTTAAATGTTTTTTTTTATTGTTATTATTATAATTTTAATTAACTTTTTTTTCTCCCTACAGAATCCCATTGAAAGATGAGTGGCTTTATAAACAAATTATTTGACTTCTGTAAAGAAATAAATCCAGCTACTTTGACTGGGTCCATCGATGTTGTCATCATCCAGCAAGACGATGGCACATATCACTGTTCTCCATTCCATGTACGTTTTGGGAAAATTGGTGTTCTTCGAGCCAGAGAAAAAGTTGTATGTATAGTCTTTGTATTCTTTATTATTTTCTAGAATCCTTCAATATTGATCTGTGTGTGCGTATTATGGGGTGGAAAGACTACAATGAATCCATTGCTAGATCAACTGCTGAGAAAGTCTGCTCACTGTGTTGAGTAAGACAATTTTTCTCTCAGGAATCTATCTTGCATCTATAAGTCTATCATTTGTCCATGCTTAGAACATTGCTGCCATATATGGTCTGGAGATCCTCAATAAGATCCAAAGGAGAATCAGCAATATTATTAGTCCTGATCTGGTGGCTCGACTTCAGTCACTTGCCCACTGCCATAAGGTTTCTTCTCTGTACCATTTTTATAAATACTTTCATGGTAATTGTTTGGATGAGCTCTTCACTATGGTACCTAGACTCTACGAATTTAAGTACCATACTAGACGAGCAGTGAGATCTCATCAATTTACAGTTGAGCTGGCTAGATGTAGCCGTAAGTTCTATACTAACAGTCTCTTATCCCATAATTCTCGCTGTTGGAACTCCCTTCTGGTGCCATACTTTCCAACCAACTTTAATCTGCAAAAATTTAAATACAATGTCAATCACTATCTTTCCTCCTGATTGCTCTTTTCTCTTATTATTAATGTTTTCTGTTCCTAATTCCTCCACACACTTGAACCCTCTTCCTGCTAGTGGCTGTACTGCTTTGTTTGGGGTGATATGGATATTTTATATATATATATATATATATATATATAAAATATATACACACACACACACACACAATTTGAAACTGTAACAGAATTGCAATTGAAAATTGATTTAATATGGAAGCACAAAACTACATACTGTAAAGCAACTATTTTATTGCATGTATATAACACTTTAAAAATGGTTTAGTCAAATCAGATTTTTCTATCCTGAGAATGGCATTCTCTCTTAAGACATTACAAAAGTCAGGAAAATTTAAGTAAATGTTTTGTTTACGTATTTTTTTATAGAAAAAATATTTTATCATAATGATGGCATTTAAGACACCCACACCTGTTTCCAGGTGGGGTAAATAGTTTTGGTAGTTCATGCCATCTGGATAAAAATAAGACTACCAGACATCTCCACTTTACCTAAAAGACCTAGGAGATATTTTTTAGCAAGATTTGTGCGTGTAAAAATGTCAAGCAGTCTTAGATGCCGTTTGATAAGGTACCTTGAGCTTTCACCAATCCAAATAACATTGATTAATTTTTATTTATTTTTAACTAGAAGCAAAGTATTAATGTTTTTTCTATATAGTTATTTACTAAGCATAGTTTAGCCTGGCACGAAGCCATAATAATCGAGCAACCATGAAAACTGAACTCCCTTCAATACCTGATAGTCTACCAGATTTGCTTAGTAACTGATGATCTAAACACTTTCAATTTCATTTTTTTGCCTTTTGGAAAACTAATGCTACCCACAAGAAAGTCAAGACCTGATCTGAGAGGTTACTGAAAAGTTCTTTGCATCAACCATTTCCCAAAATGTGCCTAAATGACCAAATTGCCGATTTTTATTGATAAGGTCTTGTTTACACTGAGAATTTTTGCATACAAGATATTCACAATATCTCTGTGTTGTCTTTCTAAAACTACAAAAACTTTAACAAGAATCATCTTATTCTCTCTCTCTCTCCCCCCCGCTTATAAATATTAATATTCATTGAAAGCATCCATGATTTGACCTTTTCAATTTGTCATAAAAATGACTTCAAATGCCCATACACTTTTTCTGTTACCCAGAAGTTAGCCTTCTCAATACAGATGTTGATTTCATTGAAATTGTGCATATGTAATTTTTGCATGTGAGCATATGTATTTTAATCCAATGGCAGACCAAAAAATATTTATACAAACTTAAAAAAAAAAACTTTAAAAATTATTTTATTTTGTTACTAGTTAATTGCTAAAAATTGCAGTAATTATTTAATTTTATAATATATATGATGTGTGTTTATTTACTGTTTTTTTTATTTTTTTACCATTTTATCCCAAACAAGGTAATAAAGCTACTAAGATGTAAGGGTTTACCAAGTGTTAGAGAATATCAGGAAAAAACACTATTAATGAGAGAGAACAATAAAAGAACAAGCATGAAGAAAGATAACGATTTTGACTAAGTGCAAGAGAAGAAACTTAGCATGAAACTTATGGTTACATATATTAAAATTCAAATGTAAAATGAGACCTAGCTGCCAATCTAGTACTGCACTTAAATTCATAAAGTTTAGGTACCATAGAGAAAAGCTCATCAGAACAATTACTATGAAAGTATTTATAGAAAAGGTACAGGGTAGCTATGTTATGGCAGTCAGAAAGTGACTGAAGCTGAGATACTAGGTCAGGACCAATAACATTGCAGATTTTTCTTTGAATTTTATCAAGAGTTTCTAAATAGGTAGTAGAAGCATCAGACCAGATGTGGCAACAATATTCAAAGCTGATTGGTAGATTTGTAGGATAGATTCTGGTTAGAAAAATGTACTAGCACAACATGGTAAAACAACTTTTCTAGCAGCAGACCTAGCAATTGATTCAATATCTTTTCATTTTAAAAAATTAACATGTCATTCACACAACACAGACATATGCCTATCTCTTGCATATGCACATGCAAAGATAGCCAGAGGCAGTGCATGATGGACAGAATTAACATTTCTTTTATAATATAGGTTAGTTAATTTAAAAGTTGGTGGTGGGTGGGGGTATTTGGCCAAGGATGTTAAAAGAAAATTGCACTAAGATGAAGAAAAGACAAAGCAAAGTGTAAGAGAACATATTTTTGTTAACCACTTACAAATTATTTTGTGTATTAGTCATTACTTAACATTTATAATTATCTTATAGTCAAAGTGATATTGTTCCAATTTAATTTTGTTGTCACTGTTTAAAATCTAGTTTCTAACTTGTATAATGTAAGTATTTTGTATCAGATTTCTCCTATACCTGGTTCTTTGGGTGTTTTCTCTCTCTCTCTCTCATCCTAATTGTTCTATATACAAAAAAATCCTTTGTTTCTCTGCAGGTGGACATCACAATCAATGGCAAACCTGTAGATCTTCATATGAAACTGGGAGAAGCAGGTGAAGCCTTCTTTGTCCGGGAGGTTGAAGGACCTGCTGAAGAAGTAACTATTTATTATTTATTTACTTAATTTTTGATCTTTCGTTAAAACTCTTTATCCTACCATCACAAATAATGGAACAAGAGGGTATTAATTGGTTAGAGGTAAAAATCCTGTAATTAATATATATAATTTTTCAAATTTTTATAATTCTGGATTTTGATGGTGAACAAAGTTAATTATAGAGTGATTACCAGCTGTTAATGTTTTATAACATATTTATCATATATTAATATCTTATTTTTTGGGTTACTGTGAAGTTTGGATTGCAATGCAAAAAAATTAAATGAAGTTTAATTTTTTAATTTTTTGCCTATTCTCCTCCTCCGTCTCTCCCTCCCTGAAAGTATGTAACATTATTTTTTTATTTTTTTTTTTTTTAAGTTTTTAAATAAAGTAAAAAGATTATGCAATCTTGAAACCAAAATCAATGTTGCTGCATTTATAAACAAAGCATATCCATTAATAATTTTGCCTCATCAAGTGAATTTATCTGTTTTTATCTTATATTTCATAATCTCATTTTGTTTTTTTTTGTTTTTTTACAGTTTCCTCCATACCTGGCTACATCGCCAATTCCATCTGGGGCAGAGTTGATGAAGCAACATTTGCAGTCTGAAAGCCGTTCAATTTCTGATGAAAACTCTACTGGGGATGGACGAACACTATCTGAAATATCTGGTGGTCATGTCTTGTCTTGCATCATTAGTGGGCGAGAGAGCTCTCCTGAAGGTGGCACCAGTGAGAGTGAAGGACATGGCCATACCAAGAAACGAAAGAAACGAAAAAACATGAGGCGCAAGACAGTCAGCAAGGCTGTTGATGGCAAAAAACACAATGAGGAAGACATCTTTGAAATGGAGGATGTCTCCACTGATGAAGACTGTAATTTGATTCGAAACCCCTCTTTGAATTCTATTACCGTGGAGGATAAAATGAATCGTACAGATGATTGGGCCAGCAAACAGTATCAGTATTTTCATCCAATGAGTGACACTGAAGTCTTACCACATGAGTAAGTGTTTTTGAAAGTTCTTTTTAGTGTTGGAATTTTTTTTCTTTCTAGCCCTTTTATTTTAAAAAGATATCTACCCTCAGGCAAAGGAATAAGCATTTTTTTTAAAGCTTGAGTAAACTTTTTCTGTGATTTTTATCTAAAACTCCATTTATATATCTGCAAGAATAATGAATTTCGTAATAGGATTTATTGGCTTACATTCTAAATTCCTTAAATAAGTCATGATTTTTTATTTATATATATATATATATATATATATATCTATTATATTTTGGTCATTTTACTGAGAAAGGTCAGTGACCTTTCTCAGGTTTCTCATTAGATAACCTTCCAAGGCTGTTGAATGGAAATCATTATTTGATCCACATGGATATATTGTTCTCATGACTTCACCTGTTCTAATAATTTTCTGGGAGGATTTCATCCTTCCTTCTGAAGATGTTCTGTCTCTCCACAGAACTGCTGTAAATTTCTGAACTGATTTCCTGAACAAAATACAACCAACATATTACATCTGTCAGTAATGTATTCAGCTATTTTGAAGACCTTTTTAAAACTGGTTGCACATCCTTGGCATGACAGTTCTCTGGAGTTACTAAGTTGATCTTCTAATCATATATATATATATATATATATATATATATATATATATATATATATATAATAAGTAAATAATGGGAAATTTGTAGCTAAATGGTATAGACATCAAGTTATACGACTGTTGTGTGTAGGATACAGGTTCGGTTCCTGTTGGAGAACACATATTTTCTATGAAATTACTCGGGCATTCAGGCTGGTAAATGTTGTTAATACTGTTTACTGATCTGGTATGCTTTGACCTCTTGGCTATGAAAAGCTTCACAATTGTACAAGGTTCTATTTTGCCTTTAAACTAAATAACTCATTCAGATTTTTGTCAATATCTGCTCAGTTTCATATTCAAAACCTAAAAAAAACGATTTTTAAAAATTTAATAGATGTTTTTAATGGCATTTTGTTCTATTTTTTTTTTTTTTTTTAATTATTATTTTTTAGTAGCTACCTGTATTTAAGTAGACACTCCATTTATTTTAAACAGTATGTATTTTGTCTACTGTCCTGCATACTTGAGAAAACTTGAATACACCGACCAGTAGATAAAATAGTGTTTTAAATGGAATATTTACACAAATATAGTATCTACTAAAAATAACATTTCAAATTATATATAAACTTTTAGTGATGTTAGGATAGGCACTTTCCTAACACAGAACTTATAATTTCGTGGATCAAACAGATTACTGAATTTAAGTATCATTTAAGTTGTAGATTTGACTTTTATCATAAGTAAAATACAGTTGTATCATAATTTTATAACAATTTTTCAAATGGTAAAAGTATCCACAAAATTAAATTATGACAATGTTCTTATGAAACTTGAAAAGAAGTTTCTAGCAACAAAAACTTAGGATATTTAAAGTGATAAAAATATTGTAGAAAAATAAATTTGTGATTCCCTTAACAAGAACTCTAATGGAAGGGCTTAAGAGCTCAACTTCATTAGCATACATATCAATAAATTCAGTTTTTAAATAATAGTAAATATTTGTCACTGCTAGTGCCATTTGTACAAACACTGTCAATAGTAATCATTTGCACAGTCAACACATTTGTACTTCTTTCTTTTCTTTTTTTTTTGTTTCTTTTTTTTAAACATTATAAACTTTTATCCCATTATAACTAACAGGCAATAATTCTAATTTCAAACTTTAACAAAATCTTTCTTTTTTAATGAGTGATCTAGTTAGTAAATTTAAAGTTAACAATGTGATAAAAGTGTCATCAGTTTTATATAAAGTGATGTTGGTCTTTGGGTTAAATTAGTACCATATGTGTAATGGTTTTATAACAGTTTCTCACTCATAGTCACTAACAGATGTTTCTATTCAATTCAGAGAAATGTTAATATTGGACAAGACTCCTTTCCAGATTTGAGGTCAGCTGTAATTCTCACTTGTCCAGTTGACTCACTTCATATTTGTACATTCATTATTAACTGGATGAAATCTCATTTTTAAAAATCTCTGTACTTTTCGACAATTGTGTGAAGCTACATTCACTTTTTTAATTATAAGCTGATTATAATTGTAAGTTGTATGGTGATATTTATCATAGTTAAAATTTGAAAAATGAATTTGCCCATAAAAGTTTGGTGGTGGGTGTGGAGAATTATTTTTTACTCAAACAAGACCCCCTCCACACACACACACAGAGGATAGAATGTGGTTATTAAATTGTATTTATTCAGTTCATTGATATGTGTAGGATACATGAACCTTTATTTATTTTTTTTTTTTTAATGCCATGTTTCTTCAAGACTTTGGCATTAATGACTCTTTAGATTGCTTTTCTTTATTATCTGTGAATTTCTATTTTCTCTATCTCTCTCTCTCTCTCTCTCTCTCTCTCTCACAAAATTAAGTTTTTCTCTCAGATTGGTAGCCACCAAAGATTAGAGAGCCCAGTCTAGCCTGCTATTTGACCCATAGCTTGGGGAGAAGAGATGTATTTTCAAAGGGCATTTGTGTGGGAGAATAGACTGGAATGGATTGAAAGTTGAATGATCAAAAATTGACTTTTTCAGGAAGAAAAAGTAATATTTTTATATTTAAATATTTGTAATGAGGTTAAAAAGAAAACCTTTAAAATTGCTACTTTTTCACTCTCTTTGTCTTGCTTCTCTCAGCAATATTTTTTATATTTGATGTTCCTGAAAATGTGACCAATTTACAATCCAAAATGGAACCCAAAAATTTATTCATCACTTTTCATTTGCATTACAGGAGGCAGGGACTCTTGTAATATCAATTTAAATAAGTTCTACCAGCAGGAAATACTTATAAAATGAATATCTTACTGAGGATTTAAATTTTCAGTCATTCAAGAATGGGATAGAATTTATTTGCTGTATTGATAAAGATTGAAAGCTATAGTATTTGTATTTTATTGCATTAAATTTTGGTAACATGTTAATGCGTTAATAATTACAGAAAAATAAATTGTTTTTTGTTTTTCTACTGAATGGTCAATTTGTTTTATTGATGTCTCTAATTTGAATGCTGTTCTTTGACTTGAAAGCATAGTGCTTATTTGTTTCAGTTTACAAGATGATAATATCAAGGATGTAAAAAGTGACACAGAAGTTGACAAATCCCACAAAACCAGTTTAACCTCTGATATGATAGAAGATCAACCAACATGGGAATGGGGTGACCTTCCAAAGCTCACAGAAGCTACAACAGTGACCAGTAGCTCGAGCCCAGTTACTACCAGTAAGTAATATTTATCTCCCTTATCAGTAGCATGTATCTTGTTTTCAATTAGATGTATTTTTCTCTTATGGATGTATTACAAGCCTGTTAGATTTTTAAGGTGGTTTTTTGGATAAATTATTTCATGATTTGATTTTTTTTTTTTTTTTTTAAAAAAAAAGTTATTGATCATTTGGGGAGCAATCATGAATAAAATTTATTGCATAAATGACTTTTTTTTTTTTTTTTTTTTTTTTTTTTTCAAATTTATCTTTTCTATTTATACAAAATTATTTATTTTAAGATTTGAATTATTTTTATAATTTTCAATAGCTGAAGTTCTCTAACAATGTAACATAACAATACTCATTAAGATAGAGATGTCTTAAGACTGGATACCATTTTTAGTGCTATGATTTCTGTTTTACAGGTGGAAAGCCAGGAGAGTCTGAAGCTGGAGGCATTTTTGGTTTTATTAGTAGTAAACCAAAGACAACAGCACCTAACAAACCACATCAGGAAGGTATATATTTGGAAGAGATTAACAAATTGGATGATCCTGAAATTGCAAAGTATTTTCCTAAAAGGTAGATGGAAGTAAATTTTATTTTCATACTTGAATTTATCTGTAACTTAATCACTTTCTGATCTTCCTAAAAACAAATTTTCTGTTCTCAGCTCTCAAATTTTTCATAGCTAAGCCTTCGTTATTTTTTTCTTTTAATACAAAAATTAAAGTAATCTTCATAATGTCTGTATGTCTACAAAAAAAAAATGTATTAATTATTCTTTGAAACTAAAAAAAACTTTATATCACTAAAAAAACAAAAGTCCATTTTAAAAATAATTACTGTATTTCAGTCTTTATTGCATTAGATTTTACCAGCATATAAAGCATTTAATAAATGCTTCTAACAAAGTTAATAGCAAAAATTAGTTGTTGTTAAAGACAAAAAGAGTATTTTAACTTTTTGATAGTCTAGAAGATAGATTCAGTAAAGAAGGTTACTGTATCCTGAACATATTGTCATGAGTCCTACAAACTTGCTTTGTGACAATGATGTAATATTTTCTTGTTAATATTGACTATTTGATAAGTGATTTACAACACCCAAAATTTTTTAGAATATGTCAGACTATAAAAAGCACTTTTGCTGTATGTCTGACTTCTTATTTTCCCTTTTGTTTCCTGTACCAAATTTTTAAAACTCGGTGCATGCTAATAATAAATTCTAAGGTAATATATGTATTTGCTTTTTCTATCAGAAAGTTAATTTTGTGGTTTGTTTATGTATATTTTTCTTTTTTTTTTTTTTTTCTAGTGATAAGATTTCTTTAACTTTTAATTTAAACATTGCTTCTGAGATAACAACCCTTTCTTATCAAACCAATCAGAAAATAGTATTTGGTATTAAAATTAGATCTGAATTTTAGCATGCATAGGGTTTTTATTTTTTTTTTTTTTTTTTTTTTTTTTTTTAATTTTATCTTAAAAGATATTTAACTTTGTTAAATTTTAGATTTAACATTTTCAGGTAAGTCTTTTTGCAAGACTATTTTTTTTTTAATTATTTATGGAATGTGTTAGTTTTTATTTCATTTTTTTATTTTTTTTTTATTTTTTTTTTAACACAAAACCTCCTGCTGTCCCTATAACTTGATTTTCCTAAACATTTTTCATTAAATTAAAATTTACTGGATTCTTTTTCCTTTTAACTACGGTTGCCTCTCGACTTTTCCAATTTCCCAAATTGTTGGTGCAGAGAATGGCATCAACCTTACTAAGTGTGCCTATCAACAAAATCACTAAAATGATCGTTGTTTTTTTATTCTTTTTTTTCTTTTTTTTTCTTTTTTTTTAAACAAAAGTGGTTGGCCAGGATATCTATCCATGTTCATGCATAATTTGCATATACTAATTTTTTTATTTATTTATTTTTTTATTTATTTATTTTTTTTTTTTGTTCTTGAGACGAGCAAATCACCATCAACAATTCCTAATTTTTCCTTTCTCTTCCCCCTGCCAAAAAAAAAAGAATTTTGATGATTTCTTTTGTAAGTTGAGAGGGGAAACAGGAAAGTGACCAAGTTTACATATTCATCATTAACTCTTTGAAGTATTGTGGGTTAAATTTTGTCCCATGTTTGTAGTGTTGGAATCTGTGGTAGGTCATTTAACACCTTTATTTTCATATATTTAGGGATATTTTGTCCCACCATTTTGCTTAGTACACAGGCAGATCACCAGATGGCAGTTCAGAGTGGAAAAATAAGAAATGTACCTCAAAATATTAAAAGATAAAAAATAATTCCTTGAATACACTTACCTATTTTTTTTTTCTCTATTTATATTTAAAGGAACTTTATTATATACTAGAAAGGTTTACTTTTACTTAAAAAGGTAAACTTAAAATCTAAAAGACTTTTTATTTCTCTCTTGCTCTTTCTCTCACTCTTTCTTTCTCTTTCTCTTGCTCTCACTCTCTTTTTTAACATAGGCTGCTAAAAATGGATTTGCTTATGTAAGACTTTTGTAAATGTGCTCTACTCATTTCTTTAAAGAAATCCCCACTTTCTATAAAATGGATTTTCCAAAACATGGTACTTATAAGAATAATGAATTCTATAGCTATAGTATAACAACTGTTGGAATGACTTCTCAAAATTAGAAAAGCTACCAATGAGGTGCATTCATTAAAGTTTTGACCTTGCCCTTCTTGTATTTGTTTGTACAATTTTATAAACAATATTGACTGATACCAAGAGAATTTTGCATTAAGATTATCACTACTTGATACTCAATCGAAACTACAATTTTTATTTTATTTTTTTTTTCCTACTAAAATTTGTCAGTTTGACTCAGAATATTTTTCATAACAGTAATTTTTTTTTTGGAGGTGGCATCTGGAGGTGTTAGTTTTTCTTTGAGTTTATAGTGTTTGTGTGTTAGCCTGCAAAACCTGATGTATAATTTGTTGTGTAGTGTGTATTCTTATCTGAGCAGTTGTACATGTGTAAATTGTACTTTAATTTCATTAAAATTTAGATCTGTACTATATTGTTCCAGAATTATTGTCTATAAATATTATAACATAGAATACATAAATTTGTAATTGAAGAAAGGTCTGAAAGGATTTACATCCATGTTGCTATCCTTAGGAGTTCAACAAGAGATCAGGAGAATATGTATTTTTGTTAATGACCAAACACCAGAATTAACATTTTAGAATCTAACCTGAAATCCCTATATAGATAATGGTGGTCATATGTTCAAAATGGTGAAGACTTTCCTCTAGCACAAGCTTTATCTTGTCTAAGTCGATCACGTCTTTATTGCATTTTAAAATACGTTTTTTGGTTTGATCAAAAAGGTATGAAAATTAATATTATTGATTTTGAATGCTCATGATTTTAATTCAGTAAATAACTTGCACCCAGCTATATACACTAGCTGGAGTTTTACACCCCACAGATCTCTGGAACTTATCCAAATATTATTTTCAAAAATTTGTCTTAATTAGGATCTGAAACTTTTTCAAATTCCCTTTGATGTGTAAACATAAGTTACTGTTGTTTTTTCTTACTTTACTGTTTATTTTTTTATTTTTTTTTATTGAATGTTTCACATTTGTTTAGATGAGGTCTGCTAGATTAAGTGTTAATGTTTTAGTTTGACTATATGTGGTTGTATTTTTCATACATTCAATATTTTGTCCTTTCTTTTAAGTCAGAAACTAGACAAAAACTGTACATAATTGCAATGTTTCTCCTCTTTTTTTTTTTTTTTTTTTTTATTCATTAGTTTTGAAAGTTAAATATATTAATTCTAAGATTTCTTGCTCAATTTCACTTTTCTATAGGGAAATAATTATTATACAAATGTGAAATGATGTCACTTTGGTGATTAAATCTTGATTTTAATTAATTTTCTTGAATTTTCATTAGGAATCCATCGGGCATGAACGCCCTGTTCTTTTTTTTTTCTTTGATATAACTATTTCTCAGAAAACAGAATTTTGATGTTAATTGCAAAAATAAAATGAAAATATAAATCTTTTTTACAAAATTTGTGACAAACATACTATTATTATTTACTTAGGCTTTTAGGATGTTAATCAAGTTTGCTCATAAATAATCTTATTTATACATAATACATTTTTTGTACTTCCTTAACTATTGTCCAACTGTTTTAGTATAAATATAAAATAAATTCACTGTATAGATGGGAAGGTGTGTTGAAAAGTTCTCAGCGCAAACCTTCCTTCCAAAAAAGTCTGATCAGACTTCAAGAATTAGGTTGGGCAGAGAACCTTTTCGTACCCCATGATAAAAAATAAAAAATGTAATAAATATGCTCCACTTAACACTTTCATTGCTGTATTATTCTAGTATTGTTGCCTGTTGGCAGTGCTGGCCTGTTTTGGGGACAAAAATAGGAAATTGGCATTTACTGGAAATAAATGACTATAAACATGCTGATGGTAATTAGTGTCACCATTTTGGTTTTGATTGGATATACTACAGTAAAGACTAAACTAAATAATGCTCCCAATACAAAATATAATAAAAAATATGTTACAAAATGACTTTTATGCTACCATATATCTATACTGGTTTGTTAGTAGCACTAAGTGCAAGTTAGTTTCTAACCCAAACAATAAGGATCAAAATGTATCAGCAGACTATGCAAGTTTCATAAAGATGTACAAGTTCATTAAAAGCAGTGAAAGTGTTAATTCAATATTAAATAGCAAACATTAATGATGACCAACTTCATAATATAAAAATCTGACAATTAAGAGAAAGTCCTTTCTGCTTGAACTACTCTATTCTAATTAGGTTTACTCAAGTTTGTTTTTAGTTGATATTAAATTTTCTTCTAAATAAATAGTATGCATAAACTCTCGGAGTTGCCATCATTTAAGAGTTTAAAGATTTTTTTCAAATTACTCTTTCCTAAGATAAAATACAAAATTTATTAACTGCAAAAAAAATAATTTTTAAGTGAACAATCAAGTCTTTACTTTATATTGAAATAAAATCAACTTGCGTTGATCAATGAAAATACACATTCAGATTAACATCTATTTATACTGTAACTATTTACATCGTTATTTACTGTTGTCCTCATCTTTATTGCCATATTCACAATATTTCGGCAGTTGTATGCTCCAGTTTTCTTCAGTATTATATACATCGTAATTTCAAACCGAACTCTTTATTTAATCCACGGGAGTAGATTGTTCTAATTCCATGTGCCATACCTCTTTTGGATATCTCCGTTTCAGTTAACTCCTTTCAGTAACTCAACTCTTCAAGTTTTTGTTCCTTCTGCTGTGGCCAGGTATTGAACTTACAAAACTTTGGGTCAAATCACTTTTTGGATCACTCAACCAACACATTTATCCACTGGGCTATGTGTCCAAAAAAGGCATGGCATGTGGAATTAGAACAATCTACCCCTGTGGACGAAATTAAGGGTTTGGTTCAAAATTCCAACATATGTCACTTGAAAGCCAGAGCATACAATGGCTAAAATGTCATGAATATAGCAATAAAGACAAGAACAACAGTCCAAATGATGTAA